AGAGCTGATCAACTTCATCGTCTATCATAAGAATATCCTCTGAGCTCTATGTTGGCAATTTCGTCATCTTCTCCGGTTGGCTAGATGAGCGTCAAGTAAAGTTCATCATAATTTGATGGATAAATAAATTTGTGAGCCATTACTATGAACTTAAGGTGATGAAACGAGCGTGTGAATATTATCGATGTAACAAAAGGGATGAAATAAACTAATGTTAATAGCGATGAGCGTTTTATACTAGATAGTTGTTGACTTACCGATAACTGTATAAATGGAATCCAAAAATAAGGCTGTGATGCTGAAATAACCAAAGCAGATAGAAATCACAGGGTGGAAAGAGCAAGGGGTTAATCACAAGGAAGAGAGGCACAAGTGAGAGAGAGACACAAGTAAGAGAGAGACACAAATAAAGAGAGAGACACAAGTAAAGAGAGAGACACAGATAAGAGAGACACAAGTAAGAGAGACACAAAGGGAGAGACTAAAACTAAACGTTGAGGATGGTTGGGAAAACACAAAAAGGCACAAAGGTAGCAGAAGGAATCACAAGGATGAGAACAAAATCAAGACTGACAAACTTTTGGTTTCTTTGCTTTATAAAAGGAATTAGGAGGTCATTTCTGCGCTGTTTCATATTCTAGAACAAACAATAGAAAATTGCTTGTTTATGAGGATGTACATTATACTTTGCTCGAATGTAAAAGACAGTAAAGCTATAAATGAAATATAATAGAAACAATTGAACCACTTTAAACTTTTGTCACACAAGATATTTCAAGTGACTTTAGTAATAAATTGTAAAATTATTCCTTTCAATTATCATCTTTGTTAGCAGTCAGATGTTGGAATTACTTTAACTAAATCGTATCAATTGTTTAATTTTTCCTGTTATTGGCGTTAAAATGTTTAAGTGACTTTAGTAATAAATTGAAAAATCAATCCATAACATTTTCTTGTATTTAACATTAACGTTGATTTGTTTGAGTGATCTTAGCAATCAGCTATTAGTTATATTGATTCACTTTATTTATTATCAATTATTGCATTTCCGAACGTTAATGGACAAAACTGCCTGAGGCTACCCAGTTTAGACTCTTTTAAAATTTAGTCTTGTATATATTTTATTTTTCATTCACAGACTCCTCCTCTTTCACGTTATGCTACATACCTACTGTTCTTAGATTGGAAAGAATATTTTCTTTTAGCATCTTTGTCTTCTCTCTCTCTCTCTCTCTCTCTCTCTCTCTCTCTCTCTGTTTCTTTCTTGCTCTTCATTTTCAATCATCATCATTATCTTCATCATCCAACTGTCTCCTCTCCCTCTTTCTCCTTTATCAAACCAAAAGCAATCACTTTGACTCAGTTCAATAAATTAACTCAAGATTTATAATGCCTTAGGGCATAATATAGAAATTTGGAATCTATTGACTTACTTAAGGAAGCCATCTTTTATCCTCATCTCTAATCATCTTTTTTACTTGTCTGTGTTTACTCATCTTGTTTCATTCTAAGTATTATTCAATACATCAGATTGGAATGATGAACATGATGATGATGATGAGATTCTTAAAATCAATAATAATGCCTCAAATTGTCATCTTCATCCCTTAGCAATAATCATCATTTGGGTAAATTTTTTTCTCCTTCAAAAGTAAACTTTGTCTTCGGATGGAAATGAAAAACTCCCAGATACAAATATGTTGTAGCATTTATAATGAAGATTCTATGTATCGGATAATAATGGTTATATTATTATCGAATTTAATTTAATGAATTTTCATTAGTTTAATCAACTTTTTATTGCTCTCAATGAATCAAATTGAATATTGGAAAGGTTGACCGCAACAATCAATGAGACCAGTGACAATAAATATCAATGATATAACAATTGATTAATTAGAAAGATCAATTAGAGTCTGATGAATGGAAAAGACAAGAAATAGGAAAAAATCAAAAGTTAACGGTGAATTTGAAAGAAAAATCAGTAATGGTGGAAAACTGTTCCAGTCAACTACAGATGATATTTATTCTTGGGGTGAATGATGATCTCAAAGAATTTAAAAGGTCCTAAGTGAAAATGGGTTAGCATGTCTCCACAAAAATTGGTGATGAATAAATGGTTTTTTCATCTTTTCCTTTTCCTATTCACCATCACTCATTTCCCCCTCCAGCAAACACCACCACCACCGCCATCATCTCAACATCATCATCAACAACAACAACAACAACAACGACATTATTATCATTATAACTTTCGATATTATTTCAAACTTTGCTCTTGGATTTTCTCTCACTCTTGAACAACAAGCTCAATCAGTTGGAAAAATTGGAAGATCAAAGGAAAGAAACATAATGTGTATTAACAATGATTATGATGATGGTCATCATCATGATGACCCTAGGTCAGTGTGAAGTTGAAAAGTGACTTTTACAAGTGGATAACTTTATTTTTGTTTTACTCGCTATTTTTTTCCTTATAATGTAATCTAATATAAAAAGAGTATTAGAACTTTTTTTTTCATCCAACTCTGATTCTGGAACTTTTTTCTCTTCTTTCATTTTCCAAGCCAATCCCTTTTACCACCCACTTTTCATGATTCTCTCTAAATTCTGGTTATATTGTTATAACTTTCTCTCTCTATCTGAAAAGCTCCTGTTAACCACCTTTGATTGACTCTAATCAACAACGATCAACAGTAATCATCTTCACATGGAAAATGAATCAACCAACTGATCCATGAAAATATATTTATGCTCATGGATATTTTAGTTATCATCTATTTAGGCTCATGGTTATCATGTAAATCACCTTGAAAATCCTAATGGATGAAAAACTTTAAGTTCAGTCAATGTTCAGATCTAATTAGGTTCATGGTGGTTCGGGCAATTTTTCAGGGAAATGGTCAGAATTTCACTATTTCTGTCTCAATTTTAAATTCTAGATTAAATCTATATTGTTTATTTAACTTTATCATTTGATAAATATTAATAATCTTTACTAATTTGCCTCCGGCCATTTGATAATATTAACTTTCTTAATATCTATTTTCATTTCTCGTTTCAACTTATCAACAACTTTTTCATAAGTTAATAGTAATTTATTACCATACCCTGAACTTTATATTACAAAACACTGAATGTAAATTATTACAATTCATTCATAATTAATAAACTATCGGGTGACCGAAAATGAGTGAGCATCTCACGAACCTTAAGTTTTGGACCCACGTTTCTATACATTTTAAAAAGTAATGACATGAGTCCAAAATGTTCGGCTTTTTCTAGGACGCACGGTTCTCAAGATATCAAGTGGCCTGAAAAGCGAACGGTTGACTTTGGACTCAAAATTTTCGGTCAAAGACATTCTTTCTGACCTATTATCTTAATTACTTAAGCTCATCATTATCTGAAGTAAGGTTCTTGAAATCAAAAATGGCCGGAATCAACGAAATTGCTTTCCATTATAAATTTCTCATAGAAAATCGCGATTTGGCCCTAAATAAGAACCACAGCTGCATGAACTTCGAAAATTCTGAAAAAATTCACGATTTATAATTGATCGATGGCGCTTTCAATGGCGTTTGAAATTTTATTCTAGGACCTACCATTCTTGAGATGCTCACTCATTTTCGGTCACCCGATATTAAAGATGAAAATCAATTTAAACATGAGAGTAAATCCTTCAATCCACTTTAATAATACAATAGTTTTCCCCATATTACTTAACCTCCCACTCTCACCACCTTAGGCAATTGATTGTTAATAAATGATAAAGCTTAAGTCTTTATCATTATGATGAGAAATTTATTGATTCAGTGATTTAATTTAAAGTCTCAATTGTTCATCTAATTTGATTTATTAAAAGTTTCATTTGTGAACAAATTTCCATCCAGTTTCCCTTAGAGTTTCAGTCAAAACTTACCATTAATATTGAACATATTAACATGATCGGAATTCAATGTTCAATAATCAATTTATACAAGATAATTGATTTAATTGTTTACTCATTTTAATTTGATTCAAATTTTCATTCAGTTAATTTTGAGTTGATCTGATTTCGTTTATGGGACAACAGCGCCACCTCTTGGATTCGATGTCAAGTTTGATTGGCTTTCTAATCATTTGGTTTCTTGTTGATTGTTTGTTTATTGTTACTTGATTTTAATTCTAATTGTTACTAATGAAAAGTTGACTTTAATTGTGATTTAATTAAGTTAATTCGTTAATTATAACCTGTGGTGATCAACGGGGATCGATAATTTTTCTTCCTATTAATTTGTGATCATGTTTATTTCTACTTGATATTTGTTGGTGTTTCTATTGGTGATTATGTCTCTCTTATTGAAGACAGATGATTGTTTTCTTTACTCATTATCCTGATTGTTAAATTTAATTGGGATAATTAAGGCTTATAAGTCTAATTATACTATGATTTTGGTAAATATGAATTGACAAATTTAATCTGATTGCCTAAATTCATATTCCAATTGATGGTGAGTTTTGTTGATTTGTTTTGAGTTTTTCGTTTTTAACTTGTCGCTTTGTTTTTATTATTCTTATGCTTTCAATTTAATTATTTCTTAAACATATTCTCAATCATTGTTATGTTTTTATTGATTAAATGTTCATTTTTCTCAAGTACTGGAATATGAAATGAGATAAAATGATTAAGAATATTGTGATTTGTAGATTTTACATTTTATTCATCAAATTGTTCATTTTACTGCAATTATTTAATTCAAGTATTTTCTCCCCCTTTCAGATGATCAGAAAGACCTAAAAACAAGGTAACCTAATTTAGATTGATACACAAATGATGTTTCATTTAATATCAGTGATGGATTAGATGATTTGGCGAGATGCAATCAACAATTACGTTAAAATTGATTACAATTCAGGTTCGTCATTTACTATTTTTGTTAATTCTTTAATCTAAATGGTTGCGATCAGCTGTTGCTGTTTCATTTCGGCTTTTCAAATGAACATTTCAACTCAATGTGTTCAATTTTAAGGTTTTTTTTTAATTTTTTTGCGTTATTTAGATATTTAAGACAATTATCTGTAGGAATTGATTATAATACATTGAATTTATAAGCTGGTTGTAAGGTATTAAGCAAAAGGAAGTAGAGAGAGAGAGAGAGTGAAGGAGTGAGAGAGAGAGATGATGAGTTACAAATACAGATGATTTTTTTTTCAAATGAAAATACTGAAGAAACGATTCCATGTGAGATGATTAATTGTGAGATTATCCTGTGAAAAGCTCAATGAAAGGATGAAAGATGACAATGAAGTGACGAAGGCAACAGTTTTAACTGGTTAGATAATCTTTTTTTTTGTCAGCGATTAATATTCAGCATCCGAATCATTTTTTTTTGTGAATAGCCAATTCTAGTTGAATGAATCCATTTTGAATGTTCAATTGGTTATGTTTTAAATTAATTTGGTTCGTTTTATTATTTACAAACTCATCTCGTACATAAACTTATCTTATGAACAATTTCTAAATCCTTATAAAGATCTTTAATTATGTTTTAAAGGTGAAAGTATCTTGTTCAACTTTAACTGGGTCAGGTCAAGCCCATACTCTCTTTCTAATTCATTTACTTTAGATTCGAGAAGATCTAATCTCTTTCCAGTCGATTTTGAATATCCAGTATATGGTCGATTAAATTTTGTCGACAAATAGCTTGATGATCATCTTCTACTGTCCCTGAACAAACAGATGAAAAGAAAACGAGAGAAAAAAATATATAAACAATTAGAACTCTTTAAAATTGTCTTAATGTTGTAATGTTTCACTTACCTTCTTTAATTGCTGTTTCATGATGATGATTAATATTCACTTCCATTTTAATTGTTGAATTAAAAGCCTTTTCTGAGTCAAAACTAGAATCTATTGTTGGTATTCTTGGAGTCAAATGATCACCGCCAAGTGATAGAATAGGTTTAATATCTAATGAATCTGATTTTGTTTCTTGTTTGGGTAACAATTGATCTTGACAATTAGTAATCATTTCCTCACAATCCATTGGTTCATCTTTAACTAACTGAAAATCTGGTCCATTGCTAGGGTTTAATTTAGATGTTTCTTCGGTTAATTGTGATGATGTTAGATTGGTCACATGGTTAATTGATTCTTCCTCCTTGATTCCATTTAATTCACCATAAGATGATGCAATAAAATCAATTAAATCAGTTCCTTCAGCAATCTCATTCTCAAGATCATCAGGAACATCATTTTTATCTTGATCAGTTGGAACTGTTTCCAGAATGTTTTTCGAAAAGTCCAATATATCGTTAATCATATCGTTCTCATTTGCTTTCAATGTAGCAAAATCATTTTGAACAATATCTTGTTGCGTCGAAATTATTTTTGACTCTTTAGGTGTAACCAGGAACTATTCCAAGCACTTAGATCAATACTTTTAGAATCTACCATTGCTATTTTTCGTTTCAAGTCATGTATAACATTTACTACTTCTAATGCAGCGCTTAACAGTTGATTAGTTGTCATGATCTTTTTCTTGTTAAGTAGAGCATCTGAAGAATTGATTTTATTTAAATATTGACTGTCTCCAGGTAGAACAGGTAGTGAACCATTTCTCAACCAAGTCCAATCATAATTATATCGAGATTTTTCACGACATCCACGAGGATTTTTGCATATGAAACAAACGTAGACTTCAGGAAGATCTTTCTCTGATTTGATTCCAAGGCATGAACCATGTTGCCAAGTTAGACAACATTCGCATTGAACCATTAGACCAGATTCTTTTCTTAAATCACAGATACAATTGACCAATTCATCGACATCATCACTTTCGTGAATTTCTCGTATAGTTCGAGGATCACTAAATGGAAGAACAGAATTTGGAATAGGATTGGATTCATCTAACATCAACATTGATGGTGAAACACTTGAAACCTTTTCAACAATTCGCAATTTATTTGATTTGTTTAACTCGCTGTTGAAACGGATAAAGTCAGTTGATGCTTCCAATAGTTCAGATTTTCTTTTACGTCCTCTCTTTTTACCAGTCGTAGTTGGTGGTGGTGGTGGTGGTGGTGGTTGGGTGATTGGTTGATTATTGTGATCAGATGGACGAGAATGTGAATCCTTTCTCTTTGTCGGTAAGGGAGTGAGAGGAGGAAGAGGTGGATGTGTATCTTTACCAATTGGTGAGGGACTGAATAGAGTCACTGGTGAATTTGACGTATTTAATTCACATGGCACTTGTAGTTCCAAGGGCATATATACATTGAAATTACTTTTTAAATGTGTATCAGGAGTGGTTTTGAACGGAGTTGATGTCTCTAAATTGTTTGACAATGGATTAGTCTGTTTTCCAGTATTACTTTTAGATTTACTACTAGATTTAGTTGATGACTTTTGGCTGGTGACAGTGCCTTCTTTATTTACAGTTGACGATTTTTGTTGGTCATTTTTAACTTTTTTACTTTTTGATGAGCTTTTACTAGTTGGTTCTTTAACTGGTGTTGTTGGTGTGACTGTAGCTGCCACTGTTGGTGATGGTAATGATGCTGGTGGTGTTTTTAATGGCGTTTGCACTACTGGTAAAGATTTAGGTGTTTCTATTATTTTAATTGGAAGTTGGTTATTGGTTTTAGATGAATTATTTTCTGATTTTGGTGTAGATTTTGTGGAATTGATGATGTTGGTGGTTTAGGTGATTTTGGTGGTTTTGATGGAGTTGGTGGTGATGGTTGTTTTCTTTTAGGGGGTCGAGCTAATTCAGGATGATAGTGTTTCAAATGTCCAGATAAAGTTTTTTCTTTTCTAAATGCTTTTGTACAATTTTCAGCTGGACATTTAAAATGATTGTGATCCTCTTCAATGAAAAACTCTTTCTTTGGATGTGGTAATACTGGAACTAAGGAGACTTCCATTTTAGGAGTTTTATCATTAGTAGATTGAACTGGAGTAGCCAATTTGACCATAGAATGTTTTTCTGGTGGTTTAGTTGGTGTTGCTAATGTAATTGGAACTTGTTTTTCATCACCTTTATCCACTCTCATCGGTGATTTTTGTTTAATTGTAGATTTCACTTCCTCTTGATTGCTAGTAGTTGTGAGCTCGCTACTTAAAATAGGTTTATTTTTCTGGTCATTTGTTGTTAATGATTTGCTTTGAAACTGTTCACCCAATGTCGCCTTAGGTTCCTCTTGTAGTCTTGCTAAGAGATCTTTATCCTCTTTATCCTTTTTTTCCTCCTTTTCCTCCTTTTCCTTGTTTTTGGCCGTTAAATTTGCCAAGATATTTTGTTTGTGTGAAGATTTTGATGGTGTTTTGATATTCGGTTCGACTGTTGTACCAATTTTAAGTTTCTCTTGACTTTTACTCGGCTGTTTACTTTTAACTGGCTGTTCGGTTTCACTTGGTTTCGGTGAATCCTCTGATTTAGTTGAAGGCGGTTTGCTTTGTCTCTTTGGTGGTGCTAATTCAGGATGATAGTGTTTCAAATGTCCAGATAAAGCTTTTTCTTTCCTAAATGCTTTTGTACAATTTTCTGCCGGACATTTAAAATGATTGTGATCCTCTTCAATGAAAAATTCTTTCTTTGGTAACACTGGAACTAATGAAACCTCCATCTTGGGTGTCCTATCATTCTCAGTTTGAATTGGAATAGTTGTATCAACCACAGTCTGTTGAATAGCTTTAGATGGTTTACTTGGTGATATAAGAGCAACGGGAAATTCTTTCTTCTCATAATCCTCTGGAAGTGGTTCCATATACTTTTGCTTAACCTTCTTCCGATAACCATCATAAAAGATAACATTATACGCACCATCGGGAAAATAACTGGCAACCACTCCTGGATAATCTTTACCATCTGACCATCGAGCTAAAACTCTCTCACCTATCTTATATTTGAAAACAGGCGGTGGAGTATCATTGTTACTTTCTGGAGCACTCATCAGGATGTTGGTATAACAAAATCTGATGATAATGATGGTGGTGGATGGAAAGATGGATGGTGTGTCTCTCTCTCTCTCTCTTCTTCTTCTTTCTCAACCTCTCTCTCTCTTCTTTCTCTCTTCTCTCCTCTCTCTTTTGGGTGGCAACTATTAATGACAACAATGTGATTCCAAGTATAAATGAAAATGAAACAAAAAAATAAATGGTTAGTCTACAATTTATATTAAAACAAATATAATTAACAAAAAGAAAAACAAAATAAGGTAAAAATTAATCAATCAGATCACACATTGTATTAAGTTACTATTGTAAATCCATTTTCTTGAAGCCTTTGTGAGTGTGTTGGATCAACTCTTGGAGACTTGAATCCAAGATCAAAGCTTACAAAATGAGAGAGAGAAACGCCCACCAGGGCTTGGTTAGAATCGTCATAATAAGAGAAGCGCCAAATTTGAATTTGAATTTTCTTTTCTTTTTTCATTTCCACTCATTCATATTCTCCACTGATTTGAGATTCATTTTTATTCTTCTTATTATTTGTAATACAATTTCAATGATTAAGTTTATCTGCGGTTTTTTTTTCGCAATTACTCTGAGTTTAGAGTTGGATGTTTAGGTGATTGAACAAAATGGAAATTGAAAATTGAAATTGAGTTTGACTAAAAATTAGAAGAAAAAGAATCCACCAGGTGGAGCTTTTTCTTTCTGTTTTTCGCTTTAACCTCTTGATTGTTTTTATGTTTTTCTGTTTTTCTGATAAATGTAAATATTTTTTGTCTCGTTGTTGTTGTTTGATTCAATCAATTGATTTTGTTGATTAGGTGTTAATGTTGTTATCGTTTTTCATTTTTCTCACCTTTACAGTGAACAATTAACTGAGATAACTATTTCTCTTTTGGACAATTTATCTTAATTGATAAGCAACAATCAACTGTTTTCCTCTCCTTTATTTCCCTTCATCGGCTTTTTTTTTCATTTCATTGGAAAATCTCATCTTTTTAATTGTATGATATGTCCAAATTACGCAAGGAAAGAATTGCATCTAATTTAAATGAAGAAGAAGTCGCCGAAGCCATGAGGATGGCTAATTATGCTGATATCATACGACAATTAGATCATTTCTATGGACAAGGTAAATAAAAAATTGAACATTTTACTCTCTTGGTTTTTCTTACCTTTTCCTTGGTGTTAACATTCATCTTATTTTCATCATCTTTTTTTCTGTTTACCTTTTAATTGTTGTCACCTCATCTTCTTCTCAAACGCCATTTCAACCTTTTCTATCCTTTACATTTACTCAACTTTCTTTTGTTTTCTTTTGTTTTCTCTTCAGTTAAAAGGCAACTTCTGCAATTCCAATCACCAACTAGTGGATTATTTCCTCGATTATCATCTGAACTACGTGAAGCTCATGTTAGAGATACTCTTTATTGTTCAACTGCCATTTGGGCTCTTTATCAAGCTTACACTAAACGAATCGACGATGATAATGGTAAAGCTTACGAACTTGGTCAGTCTGTTGTTAAATGTATGCGAGGTATTTTATTTGCTTGGATGAGACAATCCAAGGATAAGGTTGAAATGTTCAAAACAAATCAGAATCCTGGTCATGCGATACACTCAAAATTTGATTTAAACACCGGTTTACCTTTAACCGATTGTCCAAATTATGGTCATCTTCAAATCGACGTTGTCTCATTATACCTTCTTCTACTTGTACAAATGATTTCTTCTGGTCTTCAAATAATTTACACTATGGATGAAGTTAATTTTGTTCAGAATCTTGTCTATTACGTTGAAAGAGCTTACAGAACTCCTGATTTTGGTATGTGGGAACGTGGAAGTAAATATAACGATGGAACACCAGAAATTCATGCATCTTCTATTGGAATGGCTAAATCTGCATTAGAAGCAATTAATGGATGCAATTTGTTTGGTGAAAAAGGTGCCTCATGGAGTGTAATTTATGTCGATATTGATGCTCACTCACGAAATCGAAGTATCTTTGAAACACTTTTACCTCGAGTCAAGTTCTAAAATACTGATGCAAGTTTAATTGCAACAATTAGTTGGCCATGTTTTGCAACACATGATCAACTACTTTACTCTAATACAAAGAAGAAAATTTTGAAAAAATTGAAAGGACATTATGGATTAAAGAGATTTCTTCGTGATGGATATGGTACAGTCTTTGAAGGAAAAGGTTAGTCCCAATAAAACTGACACAATTTACCTTTTCCCCCTCCTCGTATATGCAAATATTTATCTAATTTCTCTGATTTTTTTTATATATATATAGACAGGACGAGGCTATACCGACCTGGCGAAACTCAACAATACGAAAATATCGAATGTGAATGGCCTGTGATGATTTGTTTCCTTATAATTGATGGTTTATTTGCTAATAATATTGAACAAGTTAACGAATATACTCAAATGTTAATGGATAAAATTGTTCATCGTGATCCTATTTTTGGTGATTACCTGATACCTAAATATTTTTATACTCCTCCTGAGTATATTGATGCGGAAAAAGTTGAACCCAATTCGATGCCAAAAATTGCTAGTCAAGAAGGAAGTGATTACAGTAGCCTTTTTCTAATGGGTCAAGCGCTTTTCATCATCACACAATTAATTTCTTCTGGCCTTTTACATATAAATGAACTTGACCCCATCCGAAGGTACATGCCGAGCTACAGTAGACCCAAAAAAACGGGAAGATACTCAGCGTTTCAGGTCAGTTTTCAATGTTCCAACTTTTAATTCTAATTCACTATTTACATTTAACAATTAACTTTCTTTTTCTAACTCCAATTTGAATAACACTTTTCTAATTGAACTCGAAATTTGATATGTTGATAATTAGTAGCATGATTAGTGTTACGAAATTTAATCAATCGGTTTGTTCAACTGCACGATTTTAAGTTTGAATATATCCATTAATAGCAAATGTTATGACAATTAATTGATCATGTTGATTTAATTTAAAATTGACTAACATTGACAATGATTTAATGAGATTATTTTTTTAGAATTGTTTGTTACTAATAGTTGATTGATTTTTGATTGCTCTCTAATATTAGTTTGATTTGTAACATTTTAAATAATCAATCATGAAGAGGAATTGAGATTTATGTAAAAATTACATTTAATTGTCTAAGAAAAATTAAGAATTTATTTTAATCAAGAAAGGTGAAATTTTCTCTCTCTGGTCTTTCCTTACGGCAAATTCAGCGTAAAGCTTTTGTAAGTCAAATTCAACTTTATGTTAATCATTATCTCTTATTTTACAATTAGTAGTAAATATTTTCCAATAGTTATATTTAATTTAGTTGATTGTACAAAGCAAATTAAACTCATCTAATTACTGTGTATTTCTTAATTCTTATATCTTATAGGGAACCGGGTGTGATATTGTTGTTCAAGTGGTTCTCATAGCTGAATCAATGAGATTACAAGCAATGATGGCAACATACGGAATTCAAACTCAAACTCCGCTCGAAGTTGAACCCGTTCAAATTTGGCCTCCCTCTCAACTAGTCCAAGTTTATGAGTTTTTAGGTGTTAATAAAAAATTGGGATTAAAAGGTCGTCCCAGTCGTCCTATTGGTGCATTAGGGACTAGTAAATTATATCGCATTTGTGGTCAAACCATTTTATGTTATCCATTAATTTTGAGATATCAGATTTTATCTATCCCATGATATGGCTCTTTTAATTGATGATATTAAAAATGATCTTCATTTTGTCGGAAAATATTGGCGGATGTCCGGTAGACCAACTGTTTGCCTGTTGATACGTGAAGAGCATCTTCGTGATGTCCATTTTCGTGAAATGTTGGACCTATTGGCACAATTTAAAAGGAATCCTTGACTCTTGTCTTAAAGTTAAAACTGGACGTTTACAAAATTTAATCAGTTCTTCTTGTATTGAGCATCTTGACTTTCTTCATTTGTTACCAAGCGATGCTCTTCCCAAACTTGAATCCTTCCGTCAATTGGAACACACTTATAACATTGGTTACCAATCACTAGCTGATATACCGAAAGCTTTGGCTTATAATGAACCAATGGATGTAAATATTAGGAAAACGTATGAAAATTTACCCACATGGCCCGATATCATGGAAGCATTGAAACATAGTGATACCCTTTATGCTCAAAGTCAATTACTTGGTATAATCTGGGAACGAGAAGGTCCTTATTTTTGTTTACACGATGGACACACAGTTAAGGATAAGTTGGAACGTTTAATGCGACAAGCTGGTGCTCTTCGACACTGGTCAGTGGTCAGATATTGTTCATCTGTATTGAAGAAATTAGTTGATTCTATTTCACCTTATATCACTGCGATTCTAGTCAATGGTAAACAAATTACTATTGGTTCATTTGGTGGACCAGAACAGATAATTGACCATCCATTAACACCCAAAGAGATTCATGCTCTTCTTTACTCAACCATCCAAGATCCATATGAAGCTGTTTTACAACAAGAGATAACACTTTACATTGGTCGTCTCATGTCCACTAATCCTCACCTTTTCCATGGAATTCTTAAAATAAGAATTGGTTCAGTAATCGAGGCAATCAAATTGTACCTTGATTTCAAAGGGGAGAAGCAAAATAAACTTGAAGCTCTTGCCCCAAGTCATTTAAGGAAAATATTATACCGATTGATGACCGATGAGAATCTATCCGTTCACGAGAAAAGACAAATCGACGGAGCTTTTTGTCGAGTCCCTCGAAGTTTCTACGATAAAATATGGGAAATTCTTAAACGCATACCTGGAGGCCTTATTATTTGTGGTGAACTATTACCATCCAATCCGACATTATCAGAGATGACACAACATGAACTCAATTTTGCTCTACTTGTTGAAAAACTTCTTGGAAAAATATCAACACCAGAATATCGTCAAATTTTTGTCGAGGTAAATTACTGAATACAAATTTTATTAAGGATAATTGTTAACAACTTTCTTCATTTTTCAGGTTATAATAGTTTTGTACATTGTCCTCGAAAGAAATCCTGAAATTTGTCTAAATTCAAAAGTATTTTAGACATTGACAAGGTAAGATAGACACAATTATCGATTTATTTTGCGACTGATTAATTTTCTATTGTCTTGTTTTCCAGATCATTTCTGAATCCGTTCAAAAGTACAAAGAAACTGGTGAAAAAAGTCTCGAGGACTTTTACGCTGAAGAGCGATCAGTAACCTCTTCTTACTTTGCTCGAACGATATTGGACATTTTACTTAAAGTATCATCATCTCAATGCAACGTTAATTGAATACAAACCCACCAATTAAACAAGTTCCGTGGACATAATTATTATCGCCATAATTACAATCAAATAATGATAATTATCACCCTTGCAATATCCCATCCAAGTTTTTCCGTAATCTTAATTTAATCTTAAGTTCAATTAGTTAACTAATTTGCACATTTCCCCACCTTCCTTTTGATTGTCCTCCTTTTTTTGAGTCGTTTTATTTGCTCTGTTCGCAATTTAATTATTGTATTACATAAATAAGAGTTGATTATCATTTTAACGTTTACCTGTACAATTAAAATTAATAATAAATTTAGTGAATTTATTGAAATGATTTATTTTGTATCAATGGACAAAAGTAGAAAATCAATTTTTCGCTGTTAAAATTTTCAATTTTTCACAAAATATAAAATTCAACAAAATAATCAACTAATTGTTGGTCAAAAGATCTTGTCTGTAGATTGGAAGCAAAAATGAAAATCATATTTTCTATTATAATAGATTACAAAGTGACTTCAAAGATGGATGAAGATTATTAAGATTATGTTATGAGAGAAATGAAATTATCACAAAGAAGTTAATTGAACCAATTAAAATGAGAATGTTAATGATCCTCGAGGATCGAGAAGATGATGGAACTTTTGTTCGTGAAAACGAGTCACTAGAACTTTTATCATCTCTGTTCAAGGTCAATGCAAGAAGAGAATTAAAAGTAACCAAAGAAACCAAAGTGTTATAATCATTTCGAAAAAGTAGAAGAATGAAAAATAGAAAATGAAAAGAAGAGAAGAGAATAAAAGAGAGAGAGAGAAATGTAAGTCAGCCGGATTAACAGAGAGAAAGAGAGAGAAGTAAAGGGAAGAGGGGGTAGAAGAGGATGTAACAGCATTACACTGAAATCGAGGTAATAGTAGGAGAGAAAGAGAGAAGAGGATGAAGATGAAGATGAGGAAGACAAGTCATCCTTTAGCTCGTATCTTTGTGTATTGAGAACGGAGGTACAGAGGATGCTCGATGAGGGGACTAGTCTCTTCTCTGTCTATTTACTTTCTTCCTCTTTCTTTAGGTTCTCTTAGAACTGGAGGAGTTTTTTTCTCTTTTCGGGTAATGATGATATTCATATATAGAAAGAAAGAGAAAAAGAAAGACAGGGAATGAAGATGATATAGACAGGGAGGGAGAGAAAGAGAAATAAGAGTAAGAGAGTAAGAGAGTAAGAGAAAAGCCAAAATGGCGAGTTACATTGGGTTAACATAGGAATAGGAATAATATCTTGGTAAGAGAAGAGACTGATTTTTTATTCGTAACTTTTTCTCTTTCTTTTCTTTTCTTTCTTTTATTTTCTCTTTCATATACACGAACTGTCTCTTTCTTTTTTTCCTCTGTCTATTTTACTTTCTTTTTACTTTATGCTGGTTGTTTTTAATGCTAAAGATGAAGATGAAATTAAAATTAAATCTGTGGTCAATTAATCAATTTATCATCGATAAATAAACCAAATTTAATTTAAATTGTCTCTTTGATTGTAAATCTTTTTCTTTGTTTTCTCAGTGATTTACTCTTGGAGTGATAACTCCAACACTCCAACAACACAAATAACAACAACATCATAACAATAACAATAAGAACCAAAGGAAAACCAAGAAAGAGAGTAAACAAAAACCATCGACATTTCATCCGCTGATCATTTCCAATAATCATTTAATTAACCGATTAATTGATTGTCTCGAGTATCCCAATCGTCTTATTAATAACCAGTGGCGAGTGAAGGGCTGATGGTCAAGGGATTTCTTCGTATTCATCACGATATTTGAACTCGATTTCTTTTCCCTGTGTGTTGATGGTTGAGTTTCGAAAAGGATTCAGAAGAAACTATCGAAAACAACATTCGATGAGATAATAACAATCTCAAGGTTCGATCTGTTTTGGCCATTGATTAGTATTTGTCTCTTGTTCTCTCTCTCAAATTCTCCCATTTCAAACTCACTCTATTTCTTTTTCCTCCTCCTTCTTGTTTGTTCTTTTTTTCTCCCTGAATGAAAATTCGTAACTATTTCCTAATCGATTGTCGAATAGTAAACTCTCTCTTCCACAATAGTACCAGCCTACACTTCGATCCGTTTTCTTTTCTTCCTCTTCGATCGAATCAAATCTCTTACTTATTACTCTTTCTTTCTCCTTTTCCATGTTCTCCCCAAAATTATCTCCCTGTCACTTTTTCTCTCAATATATTATCTTCATTCTCATTATTCTCTTTTTCTCTCATAACTCTCTCTCTCTCTTTTCTTCTCATTCTTCTTGCTGATATTTTCCACTGATTGAATTATATCGACAGATAAGCTACAAGATACAAAGGTAACTTTGTTCTGATTGAGAAGAAACAATCAACTTTTCCCTGAGAATTTCAACTTTTTTTTCCAATACAACATTCGATTGGTTTTCCCTGGACTGAGAATTGTTTCAATTCTTCATCTCTAGTAGCAATTAAGAGAAAACACTTATCCATCGTCATCAAATTGGCTTTTAGAGAGAAAAAGAAGTTTAAAGAATAATTTATCTTTATCGTCGATATCATCATGGCAATGGAATACTGAAGGAAAGGAAAAGTCAAATAAAATCGAAAATAAGAGAAAATAACAATCGAAATCAAGGAAAATTATCAAATAGAAATCGAAGCAAATAAAATAGAACGAAAACTTTATCCTCATCTGATTCTGGACAATGGACATGGAATTATCTTCAGATTCTCTAGGTGATGATGTTCTGCATGAAGATGATGTTTCTCTGTTCAATTCAACATCACCGATACCAGAATCGAGCGAATCATTAACATCTCTATCAGCAGTTGAACCGACAATTGATTCATGTGATCCAACAATGGACACCACAAGATCAGAACTCGTTGAATCATCCGACTCATCGGATTTACTGAGTATCACCAATCAACGACATGGTGATTACAATCAAAATCAGAAGAAAATATAACAAGTATAGTTGAAAATGATGACGACGATGACAACAATCAAGAACCATGTATCCTACCCGAAGGTATGGTAATGGTAACACTATCAACAACCCAACCAATAATTCAATTATCACCAAGTATTGTTAAATCATTTACTCAAACAAATCATAAAGGAGACACAAAATATCAGCAATAATAATAATAATCATCTAATTAGTAGTGATAGTGGTAAAAGTAGCAGGAGTATCAGTTGTATTATCAGTAATACAAACAGTTATTCAAACACTTACAACGATAATGATAATGAGCAAGATGATGAAAACACTAATGATAAAGTTAATTGTGACAATAAGATGAAGCAAAATAACAATTTTGATTGTGTTAACAATGATGAGAATGTAAATGTTACAATTAAAGGGAGAAACAAGAATCAGGATGGCAGCAGTGTCGCTCCATTGATAACCACTGATAACAACAATTCTGATGAGGAAAATGTTGTTAGTGTTACTCAAGATATCCAAGGATAACAACAACATTAACAACGACAAAACAACAACAACATCTACGACTGATTGTTCATTACATTTATCATCTTTATCTTCATCTCCGTCATCATTAGTAACCAGAGGAGAAATCATCACCAATACTACCATCATCATCATCATCATCATCGTCTTCTTGTTCAATTGTTGTGACAACAAGTATAGAGGAGGAAGAAGTTGTTGTTGGTGGTGAAGAGAATCGAGAACAACAACAAGGAGAAGAAGGAGAAAATCGTGAAGGAGAAATTATTTTGCAAGAGGAATTAGTTGGAGAAGGCGGATTAGAGGATATTATTGGTGAAGAAGAAGTTATCACAACAGAAACGGTAAACAACTTCAGTGAGTCTGGGCCACAAAGAATCTCGGTTGTCAACAGCAACTTACAACACAGTATCAGTGGCGATTGTATCAGTTCAATATCAACATCACAGGAATCACATCCACATTAACCGGAGGTGTTATTACCAATACATCAAGTTTACCTCTTTCGACAACTGTACTCGTTTTACCGGTCAACTCTGTTGTTCAGCGAAATCATCATCATCATCATCAACAGCAACAACATTCACACCTTAAATCGTCACCTGGTTCACTTAATCATCAGCAACCTTTCTCATCAACAACATTTAGGTGATTCTATTGTTATTGTTGATCCTATTGATTGTTCTGTTGATTCTGTTTTAGAGCCACCGGAATTGTTACCTGCCCATGAGATTGTCTCTGAAATAGCAGCGGTTGCCGCTGCTGCTGGTGGCTCATTGTCATCAACTAGTGAATTAGTTGAAGTAAAATCTTCATCAACCTTATCCTTAACTAGTACTACAACTACAACAGCCTTAAGTAATCAGGTTACAAGTGAAAGTGTTGGTTTAATTGTTGGTGAAACTGATGAGACAAGGAAATTGGTCAATGTTGATGAAAATAATGTTCTCGTTGACCCAATCGTTAGCGTGACCAGTGTTGGTCAAACTGATTCTCATTTAAATCTTCTAACTGATACTGTTACCTCTTCACCTAATTCACCTTCGACTGATTTATTAACGGGTCTTGATTTAGTTGAAGAAGAGCAAGTTAATGAAGAAATTGTTGGCCATATAAGTGAAGAAGGTGATATTTGTGACTCTTCTGTGGTTGTCAGTGTTGTTCCTACTTCGGTTTTAGATCAAGTTGAATTAATTGTAGAACGTGAAGATTTAGAGGAGGAGGAAGAAGAAGAAGAAGAGGAAGAAGAAGAGGAAGAGGAAGACGAAGACGAAGAGGACGAAAGTGGTGTTACCGTTGAACTTGATTCCACAGAGATCGATTCAGTTGTGATTGATTGTTCTCGATCAACGGAACTAAATTCAATTGCTACAACATCTTCACTTTCTAAACCTTCAATTTCAGGTTCAGTGTCTTTGAAGCGTCGAGGTAAAAGTAATAATAACATTAAGACAGAAAATACAAGTACACGAGGAAAGAAAAGCCGATTAACGGTAACATCGACTGCAAGGAATAGTGGAACTACAACTACTCGTGCGACTAAACATCGACGTTTATCATCACCGCCCTCGTCATCAACTTCATCATCGCCAATTGTTGACGAACAAGCAAATAGTAATACAAGTGAAACCACCGGTGATAATCCGAGGATGATTGATGCAACCGATTTTCGTAATGTCCTCAACACTGAGCCCACCTATCAGACTCTGAATGGGCGGATGACACCGCCAGGATTTCCCACCTCATCCTCAAGCTATGCCACTTTAACACCCTTGCAACCTTTACCACCCATTTCCACCATGTCTGATAAGTTCAGTCACTATGGTCATCATCATGGAAATGGTGGTTTCTCACTGATGCAAAATGTTACCAGTTCAGGCCTTGGGATGGGTTCAATGGGTTCCAATTCAGTTTATTCATCTCAATATGATAAGATGGTCGCTGTTGCCGCTGCAGGAATGACAATGTCCCCGTTGACACATTCACAACAATCATCACCATCAGGAAGTCCAATGGGTGTAAACAATAATGCAGCTTCTCAGCAGCAACATCACCACCAACATCAACATCAACATCAACACCATCAACAGCACCTCCAGCAACAGCAACAGCAACACCACCATCATCATCAACAACAACAACAACAACACCATCATCCTAATCATGTAGCCACTGCAGCAGCCATGATGACTTCAAGTACATCAAACGGTTTGTCTGGATCTTCACCTCCTGGAGGTTCAACAGCAGGATCATCATCAACATCCCATCATCCTCATCATTCTAGTCATCAAACACTTCATTTAGCATCTTCTCCATCCTCTTACCATTCCAATGGACTCGCATCACCCACCGAGAAAAGCCTCTCACCCACCAATGGTTATGATTATTCCCACTCTACCCGAGGTTTAGGATCACCTTCAAGTCCTTCCTCTGTAAATTTACACTCACCCAACTCACTGTTACCCTCTTTAAACGGACTTCCCTCCAGTCCACCACCTTCATCAACAAGTCACCATCATTCAGCTCAAATGACACCACCATCACCAAGCCATCATCACCACCACCAGCAACATCATCACCAACAACAACAACAACAACACCATCAGGCTGCTGTTGCAGCAGCCGCAGCCGCAGCTCTTTCCAGTGCCCAGCATCTCACTCTAGCCGGTATTCCGGTTACATCATCTCCAATTAATCATCATCATCATCACCACCATCATCAATTAACATCAACAATTGTCTCAACTCCATTGGCTATTGTTGCAACAGCAAATTCCCTCCGATCGGTAAGTTAATCAACTTTTATTGTTAATCTTTTGTTTTAAGTTTTCATTTATCATTGATAATCAATGTTACCTTTTGATTTACAAAAAAAAACCTTTGATTCCTAATCAATGAAATTGCTTTTGATTACCATTTGGTTTAACAATTTGTTGTGACACCTTTTTAATTTGTGTGTTTATCAATACAAATCATTTATCTTCCTGTGTCCAATCATCCTGCATCATTTAAATATGAAATTGAGATGAAACCGTTTAAATTGCATCTCTATCCAAACTTTTTGCTCTTAATTGTTGTATTATAATTGTTGGTGTATGTCAATTGTCATCAACATAACTGTGCAAAAAAAGTGAATGTATGATGACTATTAACAAATTGTATGTGATCACATTTTGATACTCATAATGTAACTTAATGAATGATTCATTCTAATGGTCACCCACTATCATTATCAACATGATGATTATCATTTTTTAGGCATCAGTAACTCCCATCCCAGCGGCAATTGTACCAACTGGTCATCCAGTTACAATTGTCCAGGCTTCATCATCATCCCAAGAATCGGTTGCTAATAGTGATCTTGGATCGGCTTGTGTCCCTGAACCCGTCGCTCTTTTATCAACAGTAAATGCAATTCAATCGGTAAGTATTCCCCCACCAACCATACTGATTACTATCATCATTTGATAATAAGCAAAAAGGATGAAGATGAAAGATGATGAAAATAACAATTTGTTAATCCAAAATCAAAAGCATTTTCTAATTGCAAAAGGGAATCAAACAGACTAGATTTCTAATTAGATTACTTGTTAATTGCTCGTTAATCACAACAAACTTTCACTTTTCTCTCAATTTTCTGGAAACTTTGTATATTAGGCTGAAGAGAAAACTGTTATCCAACATCATCCAGGTAATTCTATTTCCGGTTCTGTACAGATTAATGTTTCACCGGTTTTAATAACATCCGAAGTAAACGTTCATCAAGTTTAACAATAAGCTCAAAGATTGACAATAACCATGGAACTGTAATAACACCTTCATCAGGAGGAGGTTCAGTCTCAACCACCTCATCAACACCATCCTCTTCATCCTCAACCTCATCCTCAAACAACAACAACAACAACACCATCAGGCTGCTGTTGCAGCAGCCGCAGCCGCAGCTCTTTCCAGTGCCCAGCATCTCACTCTAGCCGGTATTCCGGTTACATCATCTCAATTAATCATCATCATCACCACCATCATCAATTAACATCAACAATTGTCTCAACTCCATTGGCTATTGTTGCAACAGCAAATTCCCTCCGATCGGTAAGTTAATCAACTTTTATTGTTAATCTTTTGTTTTAAGTTTTCATTTATCATTGATAATCAATGTTACCTTTTGATTTACAAAAAAAAACCTTTGATTCCTAATCAATGAAATTGCTTTTGATTACCATTTGGTTTAACAATTTGTTGTGACACCTTTTTAATTTGTGTGTTTATCAATACAAATCATTTATCTTCCTGTGTCCAATCATCCTGCATCATTTAAATATGAAATTGAGATGAAACCGTTTAAATTGCATCTCTACCCAAACTTTTTGCTCTTAATTGTTGTATTATAATTGTTGGTGTATGTCAATTGTCATCAACATAACTGTGCAAAAAAAAGTGAATGTATGATGACTATTAACAAATTGTATGTGATCACATTTTTGATACTCATAATGTAACTTAATGAATGATTCATTCTAATGGTCACTCCACTATCATTATCAACATGATGATTATCATTTTTTAGGCATCAGTAACTCCCATCCCAGCGGCAATTGTACCAACTGGTCATCCAGTTACAATTGTCCAGGCTTCATCATCATCCCAAGAATCGGTTGCTAATAGTGATCTTGGATCGGCTTGTGTCCCTGAACCCGTCGCTCTTTTATCAACAGTAAATGCAATTCAATCGGTAAGTATTCCCCCACCAACCATACTGATTACTATCATCATTTGATAATAAGCAAAAAGGATGAAGATGAAAGATGATGAAAATAACAATTTGTTAATCCAAAATCAAAAGCATTTTCTAATTGCAAAAGGGAATCAAACAGACTAGATTTCTAATTAGATTACTTGTTAATTGCTCGTTAATCACAACAAACTTTCACTTTTCTCTCAATTTTCTGGAAACTTTGTATATTAGGCTGAAGAGAAAACTGTTATCCAACATCATCCAGGTAATTCTATTTCCGGTTCTGTACAGATTAATGTTTCACCGGTTTTAATAACATCCGGAAGTAAACGTTCATCAAGTTTAACAATAAGCTCAAAGATTGACAATAACCATGGAACTGTAATAACACCTTCATCAGGAGGAGGTTCAGTCTCAACCACCTCATCAACACCATCCTCTTCATCCTCAACCTCATCCTCAAACAACAACAACAATCATACGAATGCCAGTTCTACAAATAATAGTAATAACAACACCAATAATAACAGTAATAACAATTCAAATAGTAATAATGATAATTCAACTGCAAATAATTCATCTTCAAATAATCTTCTCAATCTTCAACTTCAACAACCCGGTTCAGTGGCCAGTTCATCGGATGAGATTGAAGAGATTAATACAAAAGAACTTGCTCAAAGGATAAGTGCAGAGCTTAAAAGGTATTCAATACCTCAGGCCATTTTCGCCCAACGGGTACTTTGCCGATCCCAGGGAACACTGTCTGATCTATTGAGGAATCCTAAACCTTGGAGTAAACTTAAATCAGGAAGAGAAACTTTTCGTCGAATGTACAAATGGCTGGAAGAACCAGAATTTAGTCGTATGTCATCACTTCGACTTGCAGGTAAATTTTAATCTAATTTCAAATATGATAACATTCAGATCACATTGAAGGTCAACATTTCCGTTCTCAATGATTAACTTTCTCTGTATTTCATCATCAAATATTCATAACGATTATAAATTAGTGATCAATTATAATATTTGATGATAATGTTAATATACATGAATGCCAAATGAATTTTCAAGATGAAAACAATCAAAGCAAATCATTTGTATTAATAGTTAAATTGCTGATTCTCTGGTGACTATTGAGTAAATTAAATTACCTTGAATCAACTATTATTATTTCAATGACGATGATGGTTATTGAATATCAATCCTCATCCATGCAGAACGAGCATATTATCATCAATAGATTATGTATTATAAATGTTGACAAGAACATGATGATAATTAATTGTTGTGATAATCGTTGGCTGAAATTGATAAAACTCCCAGAACGAGATTCAGAATGAAAATTCACAATTTAAGGCCTAAAACTGTGATGATTTGATCTATACTTTGAATGATACAATTTTCATTAATAATTATGATTCCCCTTGCAATCAACCTCACTCCCTGTAAATATTATCACGATAATCAACCAGAAAATTATGAAAAAAACATTACCTTAATGATAGTAAACTGAATTAACAAAAATAATCAACAACAATCGAGATACAATTAAACTTTGTAATCGGCCTAAAAAAAGATTTCAGAATTTGTTGTTTTTAATGAAGATATTAATTTAGATTTTATTGATTAAATTTAGTTAGTATTGTAATCGTAACAATTAATGATAGAAAATTGTTTCTGTTGTTTGATTTTCACAATTGATGACAATTTTTTTCATTCAGATAATTTTCTCATGATGCTGAATAAGTTTATCCAATTTTGATTGAATTTTCATTCTAGATTCTTGATCAACTGATATTTTAAGATGATTTTGATTAGATGATTAATTCTGATCCTTGTTTATTTGACTTTTGTTAACTATGAGATGAATGTTAATCATTTGGGTTGATAATTTATCGTTTTGAGTGCACACTCATTATGATTTGATGATTAAGACACGAGATTTGATATTATGTTGATGAAATGATGAACATTTTTGTCTAATTTTACATTTTATCTTGAAGCTAGAGAGTGGATGGTGAGATTATCATTTCTTCACAAAGAAAACTAGTATATTACAAACCGAATAGCAAATTTAGCCTCAGGGTCCAATTAAATGGTATATATGTGTACCATTTTATCAAATGAACTTGGATGAGGATAAAGATGAGGATATTTGCTCTGATATTTTGTTATTCTGAAATGAATTCAAGTCTTGCATTTGGTCAGTTTGCATAAATTTGATTTCCATCCAATGATTGACCATTGAATAGAAATCAAATCAGAGTTAATTGTGACAAAGTTTTCATTTCTCATTTGTTATTGTTACACATATTGTCCAATAATAATAAATAGTTTTACTTTTCCAATTCACAATTAAAGGTTATTTTGATTGTGGACATTTAATTAGGCTTATAAACATCATCATTAAGTTGATTGTTAAAAGTTTTGAATGAAGTTAAATTCAATTTTTAAATTGTTAATATTAATAGTTTATAATGATGAATATGCTGTAAGGTAAATAAGTTTTAGTAACAATCAAATAAGTATTTCAATGATGATGAAGATGTATATTGCTAAATTGCCTTCAGGGTATAAACATGAATCTTTTTGATGAACTTTTTTTTTCTTTCACTGGTTAACCTGAACAAGACAATCAACTTTCATCATATTGAGACAATTAGCTTAATTTAAATTATACAATTTAAATTGGCCAATTTGACTACCATAGTAATAATTAAACTGACCCCTAATCAACTAATAAATTAGTCAGAAAATAGAATCAATTAATTAAATTAAAAATTTATGTTAGTTTAACTCACTGATTACTTTTAATTGTAAAACATAACCTTCATCAAATTGTCACCAACTTTTCCGGTTTACTTTCAATGGGAAAAGCCAAATTTTTACCTTTTGATTGTAGCAATTAAACTTTGTTGATTATTAGGACCTTTAAAAGGGAAAATAGATTATCACAAAGCTGAATCTCAGAATTGTAATAATTATCATGGAAAAAATAATGATTGTATTCACATCAACTCTTTCATTTTGCTCTCTCTCTCTCTCTCTCTCTCTCTTACCTGTGTGACTTTTATTGTTGTGTTGATAATATTTGGTTTCCAATGGTTTCCATTGTAAATTACTTGGTTTCAATTGGTAACTAAAAGGAAATGAAGGTAAAAGAGAGGAAGAAAAAAATACGAAAAATCGACAGAGTAAAAAGACAGAGAAAACTAAATTCTATTCTATTGTACAATGTTGATAGTAGGAGATGATGATTATTCTTAATACATGATAAACTCAAATAATAACAATAGTAATCATATAATTCATTTAAACATATAAAATATAATGATTGGTAAAAATAGTAATCAAGGTAAAGAAAATTACTCAATGTCAACCCAAAGAGAAGTCAATTGTTAGCTTACAATTACCACCTCGATAACTTTCATTAACTTTTTCCGTCTCCCACTAATTTTAATCATCATCTTAATTTCACCAAGTACATGAATTAACTTTTCTTTGCATAGAAACGCATTTTAGTTTGTTATTATTACCATGCTAATGTTTACCAATGGACAATTGATAATGATAATGATGTTAATGATGATCATCATCGGTGTTTGTATGCATTACAAGTATTCATGATAATCATTATTATCATTACATATTCATATTTTTTTGTCCAGAATTGTTCATTTCTTGATATTTATTTCTCCATGTTAATGATAAACCCTAAGAGGGAGTGAAGACTTGGAGTGGGATGAAGATGATGATCATCTTATATATACATTTATGTATATACTGGGAGTGGTAACCATACAAAACAATATGATTACGATGATAACAAATAGTTAATATTAAAGTTACTACGGAAAAACAGAGATGATTTTACCTTGTAAAATGATTAATGATTAAATCAAATGAAATCTTGATTTAGACTTTAATTCAGCTGCTCTTTTCCTATCTCTTAGCATTTTCCATGTTAATTCATTGAGTATTATCATTACCATTATCATCATTGTCATAATTATCATTATTTTAACATGATGATTATGATAATTAATACCTGTGTTGTTATTATTACAGTAATTAACTTTTCCTTATTGGAAAATTATTTGTTTCGTAATGAATGAACTTGAAATAAGATATTACAGAGATTTAAGTAATTGAAATTATTCAGTTCAGTTGAACTTTGGTGTGATGATATAAATCTGATTGAGTGGCTAAGAAAATGAATGGTAATGACAATGATTATAATGATATTCAAACTTTATCCATTTCCTTCATGATGGTGAAAATCAATGTGATATCTTTTTCCCTCATCCATGAAAATTGTGATACATTTGAGATACATTACTGAATAGATTGATGATGATGATGATGATGATGATGATGATGATAATGTTGAAAAAGTCACGTGGTTAACATTTTATGTCTGGTTTAGCTGACCTTGAATTTGATGATCAGATTCATGATGATGATCTATGTAGTATTGGATGATAAAGGAGGGTAAGAAAGGGAGTTCTAAAAACTGATGAATGAATGAGTAGAGAGAGGGAGTAAAAAGTTCTGAATGTATGTGAGTATTTTTTGTGTGCATTTATGAAAATATAGGTGAAAGAGAGAGAGAGAGAGAAAGAGGGAGTATATTCACCTGAGCTGAAAAGTAAGGTGATGGTTAGTCTGATGATGATGGTCGATAGGGATCGATGTGGTTTGGTAATCGATATGAAAAAGGTTTATCCATGAATCTACAGTATCTCATTCACCATTTCTCAGGGAAATCCCTTCTTTAAATTCATTCACATTCACACACACACATCAATACACATTTATCATCATCACATCATCTCTCCCTCATCAACAGCTGATGATAAAAAAATGAGTAGCATTGTTTATATTACTAAAACTCCATGTGACTTTTTTTCATCATCATCATATTGATTCATAGTAGCAATTTTTTTCTTGTTTATCTTATTGATTAACCAATAATTTCACCATGTAAGATATTCATTTATTGAGATGAATAAATATCTATTGAATGTTAGAATGTGTATTCTATTGAATAATCAAAGTAGATTCATGATGATTTATCTTCCCTCCTCCTCCTCTCTCTCTTGTAACTAATCAATCAAAAAACAAAGTTATTTGATTAATTATCTTTTTAAATTGTGCATCAAATTAAGTAACAATAAACAAAAGGAAAAAGTTAAATAGTAAATTATGATTATCATTTTGCCCTAGAAAACTTTTCGACCTGAAATGTTAATCTTTTGTACCATAATCTTGAATCACATTAAGAGGTTTATCCTCCCACCCTCATCCACTCCTTCAATCTACCACCTTCTTGATCATCATCTTTACAGAAGCCTTTGCAATAATGATGAGGATAATGAAGATAAACAATGTCACTAGACGATTTGTCATTGAATTAAACCTTGGGAGTTTCAAATCCAATTCCATCACTTTTTCAAATCTCTTGATTATCAATTGTATCTCACGAAACTAATTTAATTCATCACCGAAACAATCAACTTTGATACATTTTTTTTTTGTTCTAATCATAATTTAAGTTACCAAAGTAAAGGGTTAATTATGATTACTATTGAAATGATCATGATTGTTGTTTCATGATATAAGTTTTCATCTTTATGTGTCTCATGAATACTCACAATTCATTGTCATCTTTTCCTCATCTTAGATGAAAATTTTTTTTCTTATTCTCTTTCGTTTGATCATCATAATTTAGTTGCTGCTTTTTTTCAAAAATTAATACAATTTAATTCAATTGTAGTAGTTAGTTAATTGAACTAGTTTCCTGTCAATTTTGACTCCCACTTTATTATTATGGTTATCATTGTTATCTTCATCATCATCACTATTTTCATTAACTCCCGTTTGAAT